TTAAAGTGCCCCTGAGACGAAAATTGACCATTTTATTTTGGCCTAAATTGTTTACACAATGTTGAATTGGGTCAAGTTAAGACCCTTTTTGCCATTAAAAACTCAAAACAAACCTTCGATGACCAATTTTTACCGCTTCAAAGTCGTCCAAAAATCGTCCGCCATTGCTGAAAACATGTTCCAGCCGAGCTCGCAAAAACGTCATCATGACGTCAAAGGCTCAACAAACTTATGCTTTGCTTTGTCACAACTCTCTTTGTTCGCTGCACAGAGAATCACACATATTACTTTTTTGAGAACTGTTTCGTTGTCAGTCGGGAAATGTCGACTTTTTCAGACGATGAATTGTCCCAGAAATCATCTGAAGCTTCTGTGGATAGTTTTGCGCCGACAAACGATGAATTTTTGCCATGCGAATAAAGATAAACACAGAACGGCACGGACTCCCCATGTGGCTTTTGTGGTCGCATCGCTTTATCGCCTTCGAACTGTATTTTTGCTTGTCGTAAGGGATTTTCCTTTTTTGTAAGAAATGATCGGGTGATTAGTAAAAATAGTTTTCGGCAATGGCTAATTGTGTATCCGAAGGCGGATATTGGGAGTTTGTGAAAGCCATTTCTAAGCCATCAATGTGTTTTCCCCGATGCATTTGGTCAATGATCTCATTAACCCTTTCCTACGTGTTTTTTACTATCGGTGCTTTGAGAGGTTTGAAGTGAACTCTGTTGTTGAGTTGCACTTTGGCCTCTTTTGTTTTTTCTGTCTTATTCATGATGACTATTGTTGTGTTGCTTCGGTGAGGTTTAAAGCAGAGTTTGTTTCAACTCTTTTAGAGCCGTGACCTCATTGCGTTACAAAGTATTTTTTGGCTTAGATGCAGTCTGCAAGTAGCGTTATGACAATTTTCCAAGTAGCTCTGAAGGGCGATAGAAGACTGAACCGGTGGCATTCAGTTTGATATGAAACAGAAGTGGTTCTTTGTTTTGTCCGTGAAAGGTGTAACGGAGGCGCATTCGTCTTGCGAATAAATCTCGCAAAAGTTGGCCTGATTTTAAATTCGTTTGTCACGGGCGTTGGGATGAATTTGAGACCCTTTGATAGCACGCTGACTTGGCTGTCAGATGGTTGATAGTTTGACAGGTTTTTAAAGAAATTTTCATTTTCTCGGTTTTTTGGCTGCAAGCCTACATTTTAAAGTGTTTTTACGCTCTGTGTCTTAAGCTGTTTGTTCTGCTTTCGCTGATATTAAAGCCAGCTTTTTTTAGAATCAGAGCACACAATTATATTTTTCATCTCTTTTGTATAAAAGTGAGCTCTTTGAGGTCAGAAATCTCAATCCTCAATTCGGCTATTTTATCATTCTTATTTACAATGTTCACCGAGTACTTTCCTTTGTGTAAGGTATTCTGCCAGAGAGTTGTTAAAGGTGGATATTGATCAGCTCATATGTAAAGGTGACAAAATCCGTGGAGGTTCGTAGACTTCGCTTTCCGGCGTCCACATCGCACTGAGGACGGTTTTTCTGGTCCCTTCTCTTCTTGAACGGTAGGCACTGAACCCGGCAGAATTCTTCGCCTAGATCCTTCAAAGTACACAGATCTCTCGAAACAGTCCTCCGAGAAGTGTTCGGAGTAGATCACAAATATTTCTGTCGGATTGAAGTTTACTCGGCGAGGTCGCACAAATCGCATCCGTTTTTCCCGCTCTGATCTATTTTCAAGGCTCGATGGAGAGAAATACCTGCAGCATGGTCTGCACGAATTCTTCAGCTTTAAATTACGCATCGATGCCCAGTCATTTTTGTTTAGTTTTTGTAAGAATAGAGTAAAGCACTCTGTTATGTTTGCTTGACATTTTGCCATGTGAGATTTTCGCGTTGAGCCTTTGACGTCACTTCCTTTGAGTCTTCCTCTTCTACTTCCTCTGAGTCTTGCGATCAACTTCCGGAACATGATCACATAATGGCGGACGCGAAATCGTGAATTTAACAGCCCGAAAAAAGATATTTCTGGTACTCGGTCTAAACTGAAATTTGGCAGAGAAGGTGAAGGAGACACACTGAACAAGAAAATGGAAAAAAATGAGGTACGAAAATTTTGATGTCAGGGGCACTTTAAGCAGAAACTGCCGTGCCACACTCAATTGTAGAGCTTCCTAGATAATTTCGTGCAGATTTAGGCTTACATACATTACTAGTTTTAGAAGTATCACTAGCTTGTACCTTTTGGTTTGCTTCCATCATCATTTGATTCCTTCTTGGATGTAAAATAATCTTGAAATAGTAAAAAATTAAAACAAAGAGCTGAAAATCTTAAATTGTGCAGTGACGATGCAATGTTTGGGCTGTGAAGAAAAAAAATTTTTCTTTCTATCCCTAAGACTGACCCACTGATACTCGATCCGTTTTCAATCCGTCGAAAGTCCAAATTGTCTCGCAACATTTGTTCTAAGTAACCCTTGCTGTTCCCGCGTCCTTTTGTACAAACTTTGGAAGGGTTAAGTTATGTACACCTTTTATCTATCACGGCTGAGAATCACTGAACTCATAACTCACGATATAAAGTGGGAGAAAAAACTTTAAATTGTTTGATATAACAAGGCCTCAGAAGCTTAGCTCGTAGTTGGCAAACAAATCGAGTAAATTCCATTTTAAGTTTAAACAGAAACTTCGCCGTGCGTCACTTTTTTTGTGGATTATGTCGTGTAGACTTAGGCTCACACTCATCAGCTTTTCAATGATATTTTGTACCTTTTGGTTTGCTTCCATCGTCATCTGATTCCTTCTTGGATGCAAAATGATCTAAAACAGCAAATAAGACAAATTCACTTTGAACAAAGAACATTGTTAGTGTTCAGTTTGTCAGTGTTCAGTGTGTTTGTTTTCATAGCGCTCGTTATACTCAGTGGTTACAAACTTAGAATACAATTATCCTTTTGTGCGTGTGTTTTTTTTCTCTCACCTGAGGAAAGTCCATCATCCAAATCCAGTTTTTTTTTAATTGCTGTAACTTTATCCTGCACCGTACCTAGAAGATAGAATTAGGTTATGCTTTGGAAATAAATCAAAATTGGTGAAGGATAATAAATTGCTTAAAGATAACCATCCATAACTGGGGATGTTTTCGCCTAAGGTTTTCCTATTGTTGCTTTTAATTGCTGTCTTAGATAAAAATAGAGTAGAAATAAATCCGGCCGATTAAACTCCACTAGGCTCGATATTTTTAAAGACTGATTTCACTTCACTTCCTCGCTTACCCACAAAAGGAGTATCCTTCATATCCATTGTTTTCTAAACAGAAACAGCTTTACTTTTGTCTGTCAATGAATTTACAACGAAATGATTTTCCTGCTCTTCTTTTAGTTATCAACTGGACAAAAAAGCAGTTCATGGACTAAACTTGTGATAGCGCGATTGATAACTGGTGTCTTAGATTGTCGGGACACCAAGAATATTCGATTTGCTCCTCACAGTTGATAAACTTCCAGGTCTAGTTGTCTTATCATTGATAAAAAAAAAAAAAAAAAAAAAACCCTAAAAGTGCTTTTTGTTTTTTTTCTCACCTGGTGAACTGTTGTCAGCAAAGTCCACGTTTCCTTCAACTGCTGCAGGGGAGGCTTGGTGACCAACTAAAATACATATAACAAATAATAATAACACTCCTACTCGTGAGAAACTCACGACTTTTGTTTTCTTCATCTTCAAATATATTCAAGGTTTTTCCCCTGGATGTAAAAATATCTAGCACCGAAATCAGTTTGGAAAGTGGAAAAATTAAAACCCATGGCTATTGTGCAGATTTGGGCTGTTAAATTAATTTTTTCTTTATTTCTGTCCTAAATATTGACCCACAGAACATTATTCACTTCGTTTTCAATCTTCGAAAAGCTCACTTGCTTTGCAATGTGTTTCCCATTGTTTAATTGACGCCTAAGCTTTCACACATTCTGAGTTTACACTATTTACTTGTACCTGTTGATTTTCCGTCACGGTCATCTGACACATTCTTGAATCCCAGTTGACCTTGAAATGGTAAAGAAGAACATTTTACTTAAAGCAAAGAGTACTTTGAGCCATAAAGATTCAGTTGTTTGTGTTTGATTTATTTTCAAAGGTCCTGGAGAAGAGCAATTTATTTGCTGTTTCATTTCTCTTACTTGATGAAAGCCCACCATCCAAATCCACCTTTTCTTGGTTTGCTGAGTCTTTCCCTTTCAAAGTATGAAAAAATAAATAAAGAATCAAACATACTGAGTTGTGCTTTAGAAATCTCCTTGAAATGGATAGGGAAGTTTCTTTCTAGAAGTTTATTATCACTCAACTTTGCGTGACAAATTAAGACAACACAGCACAGTTCTCAAGCATTACATCCATGTATTAGCTGCAGCTGCCTGTTAATTCATTTTAAACCAAAGTTTCATTAATAAATCAGATTTATGATTACAATAGACTTCCATACTATTTACAGTTTGACTATGTACCTGTATAGCTGCTGATCTCTAAATCCTCTATTTTTCCAGATGCCGATGAAACTTTAGTTTTCTCCGACTCTAGAATAAAAAAATGGGTTTGAATGATCGTGATCACCGTTTCCATCGTCATCAACATTATCATATTTTGTTATTGTTTATGTTTTGATTATCGGTAGATTCTGTTTACTGTTCCCATAACCGTTTGGGTCATGTAACAATTAATTGTACGAAATCCCTCAGAGACACTTTCCTTCTTATTAATGATCCAAGTCAGTCGTACTTACCTGCAACTGACGAAGAAGCTTTAAAGTCCACTCCTTTATCACTTAAGGTAGCTTCACTATTAGCTGCCCCTGAAATTTCGAAGAAAAGATGCATCTTATCTAAGTTGAATTAAATGTGGAGCTTCTTAGACAATTTTGCGCAGATTTAGGCTTACACACAGTAGTTTTAGAATTATCTCTAGCTTGTACCTTTTGGTTTGCTTCCATCATCATTTGATTCCTTCTTGGATGTAGAATAGTCTTGAAATACTACGAAAAAAAAATTCAATTTAAACAAAGAGAATTGAAAATATTAAACTGTGGAGTGACGATGCAATATTTGGGCTATAAATATTTTTTTTTCTTTTCTTGACATTGACACACTGATACTCAATCGATCCGTTTTTAATCTGTCGAAAGTCCACATTGTCACGCAACATTTTTTCCAAGTAACCCTTGCTGTTCTGAGATCCTTTTGTCCAAATTTTGGTAGGGTGAAGTTATGTACTCCTTTTGTCTATCAAGGACTAGAGTCGCTGAACTCATAACTCATGATTAAAAGTGTTAGAAAAACATAAAATCAATTGATATAACATGGCCTCAAAAGCTTGACTCGTAGTTGGGAAACAAATTGAATTAATTCTATTTTAAGTTATTCTTCCCCAGTTCAAACAAAAACTTCGCCGAGCGTCGCTTGTTTGTGGATTATGTCTTGTAGATTTAGGCTCAAACTCATCAGTTTTTCAATGATCTTTTGTACCTTTTGGTTTGCTTCCATCGTCAACTGACTCCTTAGATGCAAAATGATCTTAAAACAGCAAATAACGCAAATTCACTTTGAGCAAAGAACTCTGTCAGTGTTCAGTTTCTGGTTACAAACTTAGAATGAAATCATCGTTTTGCATTTTTATTCTCTCACCTGAGGAAAATCCATCATCCAAATCCATTTTTTCTTGGATTGCTGTAACTTTATCCTGCAACCTACCTAAAAGATAGAATTGAGTTGTGCTTCGGAAATTAACTGAAATCAATGAAGGATAATGATTTAAAAATATTACCACCCGTTTATTGTCAATATTTTAGACTTTGATTCCACTTCACTTCCTCGCTTACATGCTAAAGGAGCATCCTTCATATTCAGTTTTTTCTCAACAGAAGTAGCTTCACTTTTGTCTGTCAATAAAATCATAACCAAATGACTTTCAATCTTTTTTGAGTTATCAACTGGTCAAGAAGGCAACTCATATACTAAGCGTGTGATAGCGCGACTGATATGTAGTCTCTTAGCTTGTCAAGATACCAAGATTATTTGCTTTGCTCATCATAGTTAACAAACTTCCTTGTCCATTTGCCTTATCATTGATGATTCTACAAAAAATCTGAAGAAGCTTTTATTTCTTTTTCTCACCTGATGAAATGTTGTCAGCAAAGTCTAGGCTCCCTTCAGCTTCTACAGGGGAGGCCTGGTGGCCAACTAAAATACCAATACATATAAATAATAATAACGCTCCTACTCGTGAGAAACTCAGGACTTTTGTTTCCTTCATCTTCAAATATGTTCGAGGTTTTTCCCCTGGATGTAAAAATGTCTAAGACCGGAATCAGTTTGAAAAGTGAAAAAAATCACAACATAAGGTTATTGTGCAGATTAAGGTTGTAAAATAGTTTCTTCTTCATCTCTATCTTAAATATTGACCCACAGAAAGCTAATCAGTCCGTTTTCAATCTTTGGAAGCTCACTTGCTTTGCAATGTGTTTCCCAGTGTTTAATTGACACTTAGGCTCAGACATATTCTGAGTTTGCACTAATTGCTTTTACCTGTTGACTTGCCGTCGCCGTTATCTGACTCCTCCTTTAATCCAAATTGACCTTGAAATGGTGAAGAAAAATATTTTACTTTAAGCAAAGAAAACTTTGAACCGTAATGAATCAGTTGTTTGCGTTTAATTTATTTTCGAAGGTCTTTTTGTAGTCACAAACTTGAGAAGTGCAATTCATTTGCTGTTTTATTTCTCTCACCTGATGAAAGCTCATCATCGAAATTCACCTTTCCTTGGTTTGCCGAGTCTTTCCCTTTCAAAGTATCTAAAATAAATAAAGAATCAAAGCTATTGGGCTGTTCTTTGGAAAGTTCCTTTAGGCGATGAAGTGTAATGAATTACTAGAAAATAACCCCTTACTCTGCATACATCAAGAAAAAATAATTGCCCCTTTTTTCGCCCCTGTCATCTCAGTATTTTTGCTTGTTATTGTTCTCAAGCATTTCATTGCTGTATCATATGTAGCTACTGTCCATTCATTTTAACCCAAAATTTAATTAATAAACCAGATTTTTAACACTATGTTCTTCTATACTGTTGACAGCTTAACTTTGTACCTGTGGAGCTTCCGATCTCCAAATCCTCCAGTTTTCCAGATGCAGGTGAAACTTCAGTTTTCTCCGAGTCTAAAATTAAGAAAAAAATGGTTTGAATGATCGTCCTGGCAGTTTTTATCGCTGCAACATCATCATATTTCTGTTACTATTTTTGTTTTCATCACCATTAGATTCTGTTTACTGTTCCCATAACCGCCTGGGTAATGTAACAATTAATTGTGCGAAATCCTTTTTATTATATTAGTTTTATCATATTCCAAGGCAGTCATACTTACTTGCAACTGACGAAGAAGCTTTAAAATCCCCTCCTTTATCACTTAAGGTAGCTTCACTTATATCTGCCGCTGAAATATCAACAAAAAGATGCATCTTATCTAAATTTAATTTAATTTAATTTTAATTTAGTCCATTTTCACTGCATTAAGTTTTGCAGTGAGGAAGGACTAAAAAGGAACATAGGAACCATTCGTGCTAGTCCACCCTCCCACCCATCCCACCCCAGGGGAGGACATCCATCACACAGTAATCTCGTGTGTGGGAAATTAACGTCTCCTACCACAACCCTGCAGGAGACGGGACCTCCATTTATTCGTCCCTATCCGAGAGGACTAGAATATCTAACCATTTCTTGATGTTATAGAAAGGTAGCAAATTCTTCTCAATTATTTTAAGACCCTGAGTTTTGGTCTGGCCGGGGCTCGAACCCTCGACCTCCCGCACAACAGTCCAGCGCTCTATCCATTGAGCTTATCAGATTCTAATTATTAGCTTTAATCTAATTAATACGTTCCTGACTAAGTTTAGTTTAGTGCATCTCAATGGTCGGTTGTTTATTCAAGTTTAGCTCAGTGCAGAATAAATTTAGTTCAGTACGACTGGTCTAGTTTGTAACAAGAAATGAAACAAAAAGACAGCCAGCTTAAATTATGATCAAGAACACATATCAGACATTGAACTTGTCACACCCATCCAAATGGTTTCCTATCACGGGTGGCAAACTTACAGCGAGAGACAAGCGAGGAGTGTAGTGCATATTTAGACTTACAGGATAAATACAATTTTTAGAAGGATGAGTTGATTAACCGCAAAAATATTTTCTTCCCATCGTGAAGGCAAACTCTTTTCTGTCATTATTGCACAATTCGAGAAAAATCTGATATGTATTTAGTAAGTGCTTTTCTCACCAAATGAACTGTTGTCACGTGAGTCCTGGTTTCCTTCGGTGTCTTCAACTTGCTCCTCTTTGGTAACCCAAAAAAACAAAGAATGTCATCGGTCATAAAAACTGCAACAAGACTATAATTTTTTCAATCTGCTTAAAAAAAGAAGCCTGCCGAACAAGTTTTAAAACTGTCACTTCGATTTTTCGTTCATATCGTGAAAATGGCTGAAGTATTTCATCATGGTGAATGAAGGCGTGAAATTCATCAGAAATATTCTTTATGATACAGGGTTGATACACATTCAGCTCAAACATGTTACTTATACCTGTTGATTTGTGACCAGTGACATCAGACTCCTTCTTGAATAAGACTTGACATTTCTCTATGTCTAGGGATCACATGGAAAATAACTGTTCATTTTGAGTACAGATGTAAAGTACACGCACTCACCTAACTCTGTTGTTTGTGTGTTTTTCGCTTATTATAAATTATAATTTTTTTTTTCTTTTGCATAGGCTTCATTTTTCAGGTAACTTTTCGTCTCAAAATTGTTACAAACTTAAGAACTGCAATTTATTTGCTGTTTTTTTTTTTTTTTTTACTTCAACCGAAGAAAGTTCATCACTCAAATCCAGTTTTCCTTGGATTCCCGAGACTATGCTTTCCGACATGCCTAAAAAAGGGGAGGTCGCCTCAGGTTTAGCGTGACTCTCCTCAAAATGAAACTGTGAATGCAACTGCCTCAGAACTCTCTTGGCTCAAACATAAAATGTGATCCAAAGATCTAAAATGTTGCAGAATTAAATATTGCAAGGAGTATGCGTTTCTCAAGCTAAACACTGTTTTGGCAACTCAAGTTTGGATTTTCAAAATCGTCTTTTTTCGAGAGAGTGTCAACCGATTATGCTTTATTCATAAGTTTACCAGTATTTTTATTATTCTTATTGCGGACTCCTCAAGGAATATCTAAATCTGTCTTTCTTCTGTCACGCATTCTTTACATGTAGCTACAATTTATATCGATTGGGAACTACTTTAATTAGTGAGGACAATACGGATTTCAGGTGGTTACTTTGGCTTCAAGTGTAACGGGAGACAGACAAAGTACACGACAAGACATTAACAGAACTGCCTGAAGGGTTACAACGAAGCCAAAGATATTCCCACGATCCGAAAAAGAAATTTAAAACGAAAATTGTGACGTCACTCTTCAAAGTTCCATTCTATGAGTCAAAGCTTTTCAATGCGGCACGTGAATTTTGGAAACCTAATACTGGTTAACTCCAATCTCTTTACTTGTTTTGTTCCATCATTTTTTCGTGACGAAATGATGTCGAAGTGTAACTCTCTGGCAGGCGTTAGCATGAATTTTGCAACTTGGTCGACAGTGAAACTGCAATGGTAGTTACGGTTTAGAACTTGAAGATGAGTAAAGCAGATTTAAAAATAAATGGTAAAGCGAGAGTTTCGGTGAACAAAAAACAACGAAGGAATTCTACAAGGTGTCAAGGTACAATTGCACCACGTGCTTTATATGTGATTTACATCACACGCGGTTTAATCAAGTAAAAAAAAATTAAACAAACAAAAAGAATGCTAAGATACCTTTCCGCGTTTGACTTTAAAGGCTACTTTTAAACTATGTAAGCTCGATTTATCGTCAGACAAACCATTACCTTGAGCTACAGATAGTCTCTGCCACAGCCATTTTATTCTTAATTTGTGAATGTCGTGTGTCTCCCATAAAAAAGAAAATTTGCGAAGATGTCAACACTGCAGCTGAATCAACCTTTGCAGCGTAAATCTCCCTTGGCACAAACTGGTTCCAAAAGCCAATGAATAGCCGCACACGTCTACCTCTAAAATCTGAGCGAAACATGCGGTTATCTCGTCAAGGTATAAAACCTGTCATTTTCTTTCAGTTGTTAGTGGCAACGCCGTCATAGAAATTCATCTTTATTCTGGTTAAAGACTAAATTAATTTGTCAATCTTTCCATTATGTGCATGCCATATTTTATTGAAATTTTTTTTCTTTTACCTGTGGAACTCTTGCTCTCCAGACCTAGTTCTTCTTTTGATTGCACGACTTTATCTTCAGCCATAACTACGAATAAAACAGAACCAAACCGGTTTCCTCTGTGTCGTAGACATTTATTTGAAAAACGATTCTGAATGCAAAGGTAAAACAGAAAAACATGTTACAGCTAAAAAAAAAAACATCGAGAAAATTTGAAATGTATTCTGTATTTTTGATAAATTCAAATCTGTATGATGCACGATCCTCGCAGTAGGATCAGGAAAATCTATCAGGAAAATAGGAAAGGTAGATATCAAAACACCGAACATTTTAACGCTCCGACGAAGGGCTGACGCTCGAAACATCAGCTTTTGTAATCGTTACGGTGGCCAATTTACCATTTCAACTTTGTTGATATATCCAAATGATTTCGTTACCCCCACCGACGCAGCCCCAAACAGTTTTTTTAATGGATCGACTGAGACTGAATATAAAATAGAAATAAACGTTATTAAATTCCCCAGCTTCAGAATGATAAATTAGTTCCCCGTAGTAGCGCTTTAACTTGGAACCGTCTCGATCGCCATGACGAGTAGAATAAAGAAGAAACAAATTAAAATTAGTGGACTAAATTTGCAGGGATAGTCGTCAATTTGTCGATTTATGTTCAAACAAATTTAATGCACATGTGTGCTGGATGACGCCAAAAACAATGCACAACTGAATTCTTACCTCGATCTCGAAGAAAAAATTCTTTAAAACAAGTTTCTGGGATCAAACTTTCTCTAGCTCCTGACTCTAGATGAAAATGTGATTGTCTCCAAAATGAACATGTAACATGTACAGTGTTCTTGTACAGACAGGAAGTCGTAGGGAGGTTGTATGAAATATTAGAGCTGGAAACCGAAACTTGAACTTCACGTTTCATTTTCGTATGTCATGATTTTATTAGGTTTCTTTTGCAACAACGGTTGATCAACACGATCGAGATGCACTGCAGCTGTGTAGTAAATTTTACAGAAGACACAGTTAAATTCGACTCCCCTGCTCCTTTTGCTAGAGGTACTTGTTACCTAAATTTTCCCTTTATACCCCCTGATATCAGAATTCATATTCTCCTCAATGTACTTTAAACATTTCCTGTGACTGACGAGGAGAATTTTTGTATCGATCAAGAGCTTCCTTAGTCGGCAATCATTTCCTTGATTCCCGCTTTCAATTATCTTTCGTAATCGCATGTCACTATTGAAAATATTTACATATTATAAAGCCCTTGGCTTGCTATTTTTGACAGGCATGGAAAAGAAAATTTATGATTTATGCTGGAGCTCTAACAGAGAAATAAAAAAGTGGGATGCCAACATCAGCTTCCTTCGAGCAACGAGGAAGAACAAGAATTCGAAAAGCACCAACGATAGAACTAAAGTGAACAACAGATCAAATTTATTCACATTCCTCCGCGCGAACGATGAACGCACTAAAATGTGCTTCGCGCCCAGCATCAGCGGGCTTCGTAGCTCAGTTGATGATAGCGTCCAACTAGAGCCTGAGAGGAATGAAGTACCACGCCTTATGCCCCAGGCATCGATTGCCCCCCCTAGCGTCATAAAATGGCTGCTTGTTTTGAGTTTTAACATAAGTTTATTACGTTGCAAGAACCACCTTACATATGATCCACCCAGGATACAAAATTATGAGGATTTATCAACTGAGTTGATGACGTTAACTGGCCACCTTAGAGAGTTTCTAAGCTAAGCCTTAGTTTTCGAGCGTTACCCCTCTATTCGCTCTGACAAGGGGCTAACGCTCGAAACGTCAGCCATAGAAACTATTTGCGGTGGCCAATTTACAAAATCAACTCAGCTGATATAACCAAATTGTCTCCAATGGCTTGTTCAAACGTTCTTGAGGATATATACTACAGCAAAAGCTGCAAACATATTAGACTCTTTGCTTAAATGTGCTGTAAAGTGTTACTTCTACTCAATATTTATCTAAGTTTCCATTAGATTGTTAAATATGTTTGTTTCTTGTATGTGGTGTGTTTTCACAGGTGCTTAACTTATATTACAAGCTCTCAATAAAGAAACGACAACTTTCAACTTACAAGACATGTTTCGACATTCTCATGTCACCTTCTGTTGCAAATGAGCTTTTAACGGTTGTACATTTGAATTTAATTTAAGGTACGTTACAAATTACGTGTCCGGACTTACATTACAATTTGAATATTAAATACGCGTAAAATGAAAATAGCTCGCGCATAACTAGACCAAAAAACATTTATATTCTATCTCGTCACCACTGCCCCAGGGATCCCATGAGATTGCCTAGCGCATGCGCAACATCAGTGCCTTTTAGCGCGCGATATTAGTATAGCCGTGTTTTTCTCTCCGGTGAGGAAAACGATTCTTTTTGGAAGTTTCTAGGAGGTTCTTTCGTTTCCAAAGTTCTAAATCGACACGAGAAGTATCAGAAGTCATGGCTCTGTCAGGGGAACCCGGGCCGGCAGATTTATCCAGCGAAACAAGAGAAAACGATCGAGGAACGACCGAAGTCAACATAGCGACGGTCCTGCAAGGCCTTCAGACGACGCTAGCACAACTCGCCAAGAACTCGGAACTACAGACAGAAGCCATTCAGAATTGGAAGGAGGACATTCTTCTCTGCTCTGACGACGAAGATTCTGAGGATACTCCTGCGATAGATGATAACACGAGTGATAATACGCTAGACATAGCGGCCACTCTCAACAATGTGCTCGACTCGAGCGACAACAGCAAGACGACCTCTGTGAAGAGCCCTGAATCAGGGCCGACTCAGAGCGTTTTGGTAGACAGCCTGACCCAGGCGTTTACCACATCTAAAGTCACCTCCCCTGCCATTGAAGGCAAAATTGCCGAATTAATCGATAATATGCTTATCGGGGGATTATCGGCCGAAACGGTCAAGGAAAGAGTGGAGAAACATCCACCGCCAGAAAACTGCAAATTTCTGGCAGTAACAATGGTGAATGAAGAAATCTGGGACTTGTTGCCCAGAAAAAGCCGAGCTGTGGATCTGGCTTTTCAACGGGTTCAAGAACCCTTGTTACAAGGAATATCGGCCCTGACCAAATTGGCGGGCAAATTGGTAAAAGACATCAATGATGGCAAAACGCCAGACACGCGGCAGATGCTAGATCATGTGATGGATAGCGTCGCCATGCTCGGAAACACAAATTGGAAGCTCAACATGAAGCGACGAGAATTGATTAAGCCTG